GAGACGAGACGACGGTGGTTTCTAGAGAGAGAGAGAGAGAGAGAGAGTGAGAGAGAGTGAGCAAAGAGAGAAAACGAGATCAGGGTATAAGTAAAGCGGTCCGAAGTTGAAAACATCGAACCGAGGCTAGAATAGTAAAAAAAAAAAAAACTTAATGGGACCTCCAAGGAATTAACGAGAAGGGGTTTAAAACATGCAGTTTGATGTTTAAAACATCGAATAGGGGGCAAACTTATCAAAAAAAAGAAAAAAATAGGATTCCGTCTTTCTGGGTAATAACGAGTCAATTTTGAGCCAATAATGGATTCCTCTTGCTACCACTACTTACAACTCCTTTTATTGAATAAACAAAAACTAACACAATACTAAGTGGATAAGAAAGGCACAAGAAGAACTGCAACGCATAAAATAAAAGATGTTGAAGATTATCTCAACCATGTTTAGTACACCCCACATCAATGGTCTTTGTCATATCTACCAAGTATGGGAAAGTTTGAGGCTCAACCCTTACAATATTAGAACATGGAAGATCTATAGTTTAAGACCCCAATGCCTTAACCAATTAAGTGGCCGTAGCCCCTCTTAACTTAATTGCCTAAGTGGGACGTGGCACCCCTTTCTACTACTAACCCTTTTAGAAAGATCATGAGATGAGAGAGGAGAAAAAGAAATCCTAAGGGCGGCGTGCCACCCTTCTAGAGAGATAAAGTAGAAAGAGTTGAGAGGTGTAGACAATTGAGGGAGAGGCAACCCCTATTTATAGATTTTTCTTGGCCTATGGTTTCCTTAGGGTAAGCCATCTTTATGTAGATTGAATCCAAAGCATTGATCATATGATACCTGTGAGGCAAGAGATCTGAAGTATCGAGTCCTTAGATCAGTCATCATGAATAAAAAGATGATGCAGAGCGTTATCCTTCAACTTCTTAAACTTAATCCCATCACATATTGTAATATGGAAACTATTATCAATTATACTATATTTTTCCATAACCTTCTTACACATAATTTATTTTATTGAAATCAAACCTTCTCAATTTCAAATCATACCAAATTATCACATCTTTGATTAGCATGCCAAAGTGGCTAGACCAATATTTAGTAAGTGATAGCCAATTTGAGTGGGGTGTGCCACCCTTAGGTGGTCTCAAGAAGGCCCCACAAAAACATCACCATGTGCATAATATATTATGGAAAGTGGGGTTTCCCTTTGAGTGGGCATACCTCTAGGTGGCCACATGTGGGCCCCACTCAAAAATAGTGGGCCCCCACAAAAATAGTGATTTATAAAATTAATAAAGTGATTTTTAGATGATTGGAAATATATTTTATTTTCCTTCGAATATTAAAATACTGAAAAATGCCTATATCTCTTATTTTATACATTCATTTTGTAAAAATAAAATATCCAAAGACTCATAAAAATTCAAATAATCAAATTAAAAATCATTTATCATCAAAATATTCAAAACCGAATAATTTTAATGGGAATCGATTCTGTATAGGTCCAGGAATTATATTATCGTTGAAGCATTACATCTTCTACTGTAGGCTATAATCTACACTTGTTTTTTCAAACTAACCCAGTAGTTTTCATGACCCACAGACCACCGTAGGAGTTCATGATTAGGCCATTAAAGCTCGCCAATCTATATATTCTCCTTAGAGAAGAAACCGATGTCATCCAGACATGATGCAATTGCAACCACAACTGTATGGTGCATAAGGATAATCTCTGGCACATAT